CGCGCCTTTCCCACAAAATCACACCTTCCTCCCACCCGTCACGTTCACCGGAAACAATAAATATATCAAGATGAGGACGCGCGGGGGGGGGGGGGGGGTGTACTCATAGTCGTGCACGCCGTAGTCGTTAGACCGTTGGCCTCGCATCCCTACAAAGCCGGGACGGAGCACGCCGGGTTCTCACCGGACCAGGCTCTCACATCACCAAGCGCGAAGCGCCGTGAGGTTTTCGGCGAGTCGCACGAAGGGTGCGCTGAATCCTGCTATGGGTGTTCGGTATCTTGTGCTTACGTCCTTGCGTACGGACTACAGCTGCGTATGACTTAATTTTATTTTCTGGTGCTTTCACTTCCAGAGACAGTTATAAGCACTGCTGTGTAACTGCCTCGAGGGTGCTTGACCAATTTCAACACAGCGTGGTGCGATCATCCCCTTTGCACAGAGTGAGGGTTGTCTGCCCCGCCGAAAATAATCTACTCGACCACCCACCATCCATGGTTACCGCAACAAAAAAGAGACAGAGGCAAAGAAAAAAGCGGTAACCTGGTTGCCGAGCTCACGCAGTGATCGGCTTGTTTTATAACGTTGTTGCCAAGCGACGAACGCCCAACTCCGACGGCAAACACCGAGGGGGGTGAGAGGGGCGGGAGGAAGTAAAGAAGGTGGTAGCACTGGTATTTAGTAACACCAACAACAGCGGATCAGGAAAAGCCGTAACAGGGGGCAGTGACAACGGCACCGCCAACAACGACGCAAACAACAGTGCCAAATGATTGACTCCACAGAAACCTCTCACTAAACTAGCAAGCTTGATGCGGCTTTTTTCCGCGCGACACGCAACAAACTATACAATCCTCAGGGGTACACGAATGGGATGATTGTCATCTTCATCAGCATTAGCTGCAACAGCAGTAGCAGCAGCAGCAGCAGCAGCAGCGGCAGCAGCAGCGGCAGCAGCAGCTACAGCAGCTGCAGCAGAAACGAAAAAAAAAACTTGCAGCTGTGACATCGCAGTTTGCACTTCACCCACCTTGATCGCTCGTAGGTCTCGCAGATCTGTCACGGAGAGAAGCACGGGCTCCAGTCCCGAACGGGACAGACACTCCCACGGCAAGAACTCGCTGCCCGGGACTGAAGCCTGGTCATGGACGGCGATTCACGCCCGCACACGACATAGCCAGCCAGCCAGCCAGACAGGCAGACGAAAGGAGGGCGGGAGGGAGAGGGAGAGAGAGAGAGAGAGAGAGAGAGAGAGAGAGAGAGAGAGAGAGAGAGAGAGAGAGAGAGAGAGAGAGAGAGAGAGAGAGAGAGAGAGAGAGAGAGAGAGAGAGAGAGAGAGAGATTGAGAGAGAGAGAGAGAGAAGAGAAGGACAGAAACAGGTAGACCAACCGACAGACAAAACAGACCAAAGTGTAAGCACCGATGAAAGGGAGGAGCTCGTACTTTGATACGGGCTCTTTCATCGGTACTATGCAGTGAGCAAATCTCCGAGCAAGCGGAAGCCATGCGGAGAGCGCGGCGTCCTCTTGCAATCGACAATATACTGTTTGGTGCAAAACGAGCCATCGCTTCAGTCCCTTTGGTACAACCCGGCCGGCGAGACGAGAGAACCCACAGCACATATTCCCGAACGGTAGTGTCTCTGTGTTTGTATGACTTTTTTCTACAAACCCACATACTCGCACGATTCTAATTCGCCTGGTCTGTTCTTTGTTTGTCGGTCCGGCGAAGGCTCTTTCACCAACACGTGTTTCTTCCCGCACCACGGGCACAAAAAACTACGTAAAAATCCGCGGACAACAAAGGAACCCATGAACTCACACAGATACACAACCAACCAAACAGCACACGGTGTGCACAAGAAAATCTCGGGATAAACAATGCCTGTGAAGCAGTACGTCAATTCTCGTACCCCTCCCCATGGTCAATGGCCTAACAACTTAGGCGTGCAAAACATGAGCTACCCATCCCCGCTAGGTGATGCGATGGCCTGGTCCGGTAAAAACCCGGCGTGCTCCGTGCCGGCTGTATATGTTGGGGATGCGAGGTCACTGGTCTAACGACTACGGCACGCACGGGTATGAGTACCCCGCGGTCGGCCTCATCTTTTTCTTTCACCTCGAAGCTCCCCAGGTTGTCGTCGCCCTTCCCGCCGCCCCAGGACCAGCGGACCTTTCCGCCATCCGGTCCCCCCCATGGCAGCAGCTCGCTGGAGGCGTAGCTCCGCACCCCGAGGGTCTTGCGGAGGACGTAGGACACTGCCGGGAGCTTCATGAAGCTGATCGCGGAGTTTGCTGCTTCGTTTCCCGTCGTCTTCGCCATGGTAGCACGGCGGCGGCGGCGGTCGGGGCTTATGCCTTGTTCTTGTTCTCGTTCTTTTGCTTCTTCTTCTTCTTGTTCTTGCCTTTGGCCGTCGACGAAGTCACTCGTTTCCTCCTCGCCGCCGTCACCGGCAGACGACACCCCAAGCCTTCTTCCCGCTGCTCTGCCGCTGGTGCCGGCGTTGCGGAGCAGGGCGCACGCGTGCCTGAGGTGGGTTCCTGCGTAGTTGGAACGAAACGAGAGGGTCGGTGGGGGCCACGGCAGGCCGAGGAAAAAAAAACGCGAGGAACACATTTTTTTTTCAAAAAATGAACGAGCGAGTGCTTTGGCCGACTCCGACGACGTGCTCGCCTTGCAGACTCGAGCCCCACAAAAAACCATGACATAATTGCTGATTCAATCCTGGACTCTTGTCCTGTCGATCGAGATGAAGTCGACCGTGTTTCCGGGAAAAAAAAAACTACACATGCATAGAGGAAATACACTTATGCCACCAGAGGGCGATGACTCACTCAACAAGCAAACATTTTATTCAGGGACGGTTAAGCTATCGCTGTGATACCTGCTATCCTACCACTGCTCTACACATCGAGAACAAAAAATCCACTGCTCTACAGCAGTGCACGGTGAGAATAAAGTTCCACTTGTTCGACAACGACATCGAGCAGAGGAAGAATCAACAGCATTCCCTCCAGCACAAAACGTGGGAGATTTCTTGGTGTGCACGTAGCAAAAAAAACAGAAAGACTTTCAACACATCATGCCCTTCGACTGCGGTAATATCTCGAATGGGCAGTCTCTCTTTGATTGTATGTATCTACATACTGAAATGTCCAAAAAAAGGCGAACCGAAACCCGAGTGGGAAGATCAAAATCCCGCCGCCCCACCTCTGACGAACAAAGCGTCCGTGAGAGCGTCCACCTCCACCAAACCGGCACCGGTTTCAGCGCCAGCACCAGCTCCCCCCACGAACTGCCAGGGCTTCTCGTCTCGTCCTGTCCGCTTGAACGCCTTGAGGAGACTTCTTCTTCCCCCTCCCGCCGTTTCGCCTTCCGGTTCTCCATCGGGTTGTGCCGGTTCGGGAGCGTCGCGTCTAGGTTCCCCGCCGACCACACCTCCTGCACCAAAAGCAACAACCAGAGAGAAAAAAACTCGGTTTCAGACTACTGTGCTGGTGACTCCGTCGTATCACGCCGATTCGACCCCCCCCCCCCCCTGGTCCGGTGAGAACCCGGCGTGCTCCGTCCCGGCTTTGTAGGGATGCGAGGTCAATGGTCAAACAACTACGGCATGCACGACTATGAGTACACCCCCCCCCCCCTTCGGGTGACAGAGACAGAGATTTTTCCCACCAAATCCCACCAACAACAACGGGCGTCGGATACAGCAGGAACAGAAGCGTATCAACGGACAGACAGGCTCGAGACATCTGACGAGGTTTGCCTGACCGATCGATCATGCAAGGTGCCGTGTGTGTGTGTGTGTGTGTGTGTGTGTGTGTGTGTTTCCTTCCTCACCTGACTGCACCAGCAGACCCCGGCGTTGCCGCTTCGGCCGGGGCGCGTCCTGCGTGCGCTGCCATCCCCGCACCCCGAAAACGCCTTCCACTCCCGTGGCGGCGGCAGCCCTGCAAAGAAAGACCGTCGATGGGAGGGACGCAAATAGTTATGGTCCCGGGGGGGGGAGGAAGGGGGTCGGACTTGGGTTTTGGTCGCCTTGATTCGCTTGACTTTTGACCACGCCCCACTCCAAGAGACGTAACACTGTCCGTCTCTACTCCGAATCGAGACACTGCCCTGGCAAGACCTTTTTCTTTCGGGCGCGCCTATTTATGTGGATTGCAAGTTCGGAAAGAGAACCCTTTGCTCCACTTATCCCCTAATGAGTCTTGTTCGTATTGGTCGCCACCGTTTCTTTCACGTTGGGTCTGACCTGTCAAAACTAACGGCCACGTTACGCGCCCATCTGTCAAAAGAGCGTGTAGCGCTAACACATCCCCCGACAGATGCGGGGGGGCACCCGAAATATGCATCAGGCAGTGTTACCGGCATCTCCGACATTCGGTCGGGTGTTGCTCGTTCGTACGACGCAAGCACTGGAGACCATAGTGTAGAAATAGCAACAGGGAGGAGGGTTTTGGGTTTGTGTGGGCGCGTACCAGGAGAAAAGAAGCTGTCACGCCAGGCACCTGTCCAATCCAACGCTGTTTCTAAAGCTGCAACAACGATGAGATGCATAAAAACAAAGAGCGCCCGCCGCCCATGTAATCCTAGCCTCCTCCGTACCTCGAGAACGATAGCAAGAAAAATATTGAAAGCACCCTTGAAGCACGCTCCAAGAACATTTATAAATAAACAGTTCCATTGTAGTGCCACCCATGAAATACTGCTCTACTTCGTACAACACCGAGAGTTCTTTTAAGAATGCTTGCAAGCACGCTTGAAGGACATTAAAAAATATATAAATAGTTCCAAATAGTATCACCAATGAAATACTTCTCTACTTCGTGCGTCGAGAATTCTCCAAGAATGCTTGAAAGCACGCTTGGAGAACACCCAAAAATAAATCCCATACATAGCAGTGTCACCCCCTGAAATACTACTCTACCTTGAGAATGGCTCTAATATCACACGCTTGACATCATACAATCCCACAACAACAAAAAAAATACCCAAGACCGCACCCAGCAACCATACAACCTCACACACCTGGAGAGCCTCGCCACGACCTCCGCACCCCTGCCCGACGGGGTCGACCGCTTCGCGTCCGCCATGCCCAGGGCCTCCGCCACCGCCGGCCCCGGCACCCACACGAACTCAGACACGGAGGCGTCCCCGGCGGCGCACGCGAGGGACAGCTCGCCGGCTCGCCTTTCGTCCGCCCCCCCGGAGCTACAGGGTACCTGCGGCGTGGTTGTGGCTGTGTTTGTGTTAGGGTGACCGCAGTGACGATTTTTCGTATCTTGTATTGTACTCTCAGCAGGGCGACGGTGTGTTTGTGTTTGTGTTTGTGTGTGTGTGTGTTTTATTATGAGCTACAGCAGAAACAAATTTCGGTATCTTGCATTGTACTCTCAGCAGGGCGGCAGTGTGTGTGTGTGTTTTTATGAGTAAAGGTGGACGATATTTTGGGTAGAGTCATGGCCCCGGTTTAGCGGTTCCTTCCCTGTTTGGCGGAGTGCCCTGAATAGCGGTTCCAAAATCTCGTGGCACGGCCGCACCTCGGTAGTCAAATTGCTGCTGTAGTATATAACTGCCAATCCGGTTTAGCGGCGATGCCCTCAATAGCGGTTGTAACATTTTATGACACTATGGGCCGCTACACCGGCAGCACGACTATACCTTGCATACTGTCAGTAGGGCGGCGGTGAGGTGTGCTCGTGATATCACCTTGTAGGCCTATCTAGATGTTTCGTTCCACAGACTCTCGCATGCCTCTAAATGCGTCGACACGGAGTAAGAGCGGGGGAAAGAGTACGGACAAGCACAAAGAGAGAGCAAGACAAACCGCCCATCCCCGACAAGCCAGTCGCAAAACGCACCAGCTTGACCGCCCCTCGTTCGAGCGCCTCTCGCCATGCCTCCCCCTCCCCCCGCGAGCCCAAGATCCCGTCCAGGGCACCCTCGTCCTCCTCGCAGACGAACACCTCTTCCCAAGCCCACTCAGCTTCCCCCGCTCCTGCCGCCGCCGCTGTCGCGCGATGTTCGGGGTCCCAGCTCTGTCTCCCCCCGAGAGCGGACAGGAACGGCTGTGGCTTCTTGGCGTCGGCCACCAGGAGAGTCAAAACGGCAGCGGTTCCTCCGCTTTCTTCCCGTGGCCCCTGTAGCTGGCGCGCAGCCAACCGCTTCGAGAGCGCGGCCCGACCGATCTGACGGGTGGGGGGGGGGGGGGGGGGGGGAGCGCCTTTTTTTGCCCTTTTCAAATGGACCTTGGGGGGCCCAAATCCCCTCCCAACGTTAAAACCCAATTTAAAAACCCCCCAAATTTAGGGCCCCTTTTTGCCCCAACTTTTCCACCCAGGGTAAAAATGGTCCCCCCCCCCCCCCCGGCCCTGGGAGGGGGGGGCCCCAAGGAACGGGGGGAAACATGGCCCATCTTTTTCCGGGGGGGGGGGGGGGGGGGGGGTTTCCCGGTGGGTTATCCCAAACCCCCCAAAACCCCCCCCCCCCCAAAAAGGGATTTCCCCTGG